TGGGGCAGTAGAGGCAGCGAATAAAAACATCAAGAAGATCATCACAAAAGCAACTGAAACATATAGAGACTGGCATGAAAAATTACCTTTTGCGTTGCTTGCTTATCGCACGTCCGTTCGTACATCTACTGGGGCAACACCATTCTCTTTGGTATATGGGATGGAAGCAGTTTTACCTGTTGAGGTGGAAATACCTTCTTTTGAGAGTATTGATGGAGTTGAAACTGGACGAGGCTGATTGGGTACAAAGTCGGTTTGATCAATTAAATTTGATTGAGGAGAAAAGGCTGAGAGCTATCTGCCATGGCCAAATGTACCAGAAAAGGATGATACGAGCATATGACAAGAAAGTCAGACCTCGAGAATTTCGTGAAGGCGATTTGGTACTAAAAAAGATCCTACCTATGCAAAAAGACTTTCGAGGGAAGTGGATGCTGAACTGGGAAGGTCCCTATGTTGTAAAAAAGGCATTCTCAGGAGGAGCTTTGGTGTTAACAGAAATGGATGGAGAAGATTTGCCTAATCCCGTGAATTCCGATTCGGTCAAACGATATTACACTTAAAAAAAAAATTAAATAAATGAGGGTTCAAGATGAAAACCCAAAATGGGCGTCTTGAAACCAAAGGAGGATTCGAGTTGAAAATCCATAATGGACGGCTCGAATAGCCAGAAGTTGAAATGGCAGATTCCCTCGGAAGCCTGACAGTTCAGGGAAAGACTCTTATACTCACACATCTTTTGTACGATCTGAATCTTCGAAACACATGTCAACTTTCAAGAAAGATTTGGGGTGAAGAAGCAAAAGGATTCAGCATTTGATATTCACTATATTTGTCCTTTGATCTTCCTTTGTACTTACTTGTTTCTTGTCCCCAAAAGATTATAATTTCTCATTGTCTCTTTTCCAGGAAACTTGTCAAATTTGATTCATTGTCCTTGTATATATTCACCAAATTATTGATTATTATGCCTTACTCTGAAAAGTGTCAGAGTATGGGGATTTTGAAACAGGTGTGCGCCAGAGAACACATACAAAGGCACGCTCCCATCAATCATTAAACAAATCATTGAGAAAAAAAGAGGGTTTAAATCAAAGAAATCAGTTTCAACATAATCATACTTTTCCCAAAACAAAGAAGTCCCAATTTAAAGGCATGCAACAAGGAGAGGCCATTCTGAATGAATTTTCTCTGAAAAATCAATCAATGACCAAAGAATCAAAGAGGCAGGATAAACTCTCTCGAGGTAGATCAGAGGGACAAAGTCACAGAATATTTAATGAGAGGTCAAGAAAGTAACCAGGCATGGATAAACGCATAAATATCGCATATTCTGATCAAAGAGCATGAGAGATTCCCAATGCCAGGATCGAACTGAGCATAACCCTTTAAACATGCATTTAGATCATTCTTAGAGCATATTGACAGCATGAAATCATGTCATATGACCATTTTTTTTACAGGGTTTTCAAGATCTATTTCATTAGCAAAGCAATGAATCAGTCAACATCAGCTGACCAGCCGTCCTCATTACGTAGGAACTATGTTATCACTATAAAATGGCCAAGAACTCTTCATCACGTAGGAGCAGTGTCATCCCCTGACTAGATATCCTCATCACGTAGGAGTCGTGTCACCCTTAGATAACCAGCCGTCCTCATCGCGTAGGAACCGAGTTATCACCCTTCCTAAAGATGGCCAAGAACTCTTCATCACGTATGAGTCGTGTCATCCTTCGACCAGATTTCCTCATCACGTATGAACCGTGTCACCCTTAGACGACCCGAACTCTTCATCACGTATGAGCAGTGTCGTCCCCAACAACCAACATTATTCAATTTCTAAGTTTGAAAGGGAGAACCAGACAAAAACGTGTTGGCTTGTCGTCTTTGCACTGTTCTTGTTAACACAAGTATGTGCAAAGAGGGGCAGCTGTAGACACCCGTTTTTGTCCGGGTCTTTTATATATATATTTTTATTATTATTAATTATTATTAACTATTATTATTATTATTATTATTATTAATTTTACATATTACACTTTTGCAGGCTTAGAAGCCCAATTCAGATTACAAAGGCCCAATCCCGGAGCCCAACAACCCAAACCAGAAGCCCACTGGAACCCAAATCACTGGCCCAATCTAGTAGATAACCTAAACCCTAAACTTGATTCACCCTAGGGTTTTGAAACCCTAAAAGTTATCATCCAACAGCCAACCACTGCCGCCGTTTGGCCTTCAATTTCCCAGTCGCTCAAGCCGACTGCTTCCCTCACCGCCGCTGTCATCGGAGCTGTGAGGAGTCCATCCATCAAACAGTGACCGGTTCCTGTAAAAAAATAGTAACCAAATCAAAGAACAGTGGCCTAAACTTACCCCAAATCTAAAAACCCATTAAAATAACACCCAAAAATCCCGAAAAATCTGGATTTTATTCACCCAAATCAGAGAAATCAAATCCTATCTACCTAGATGTCATCATCATCTCACCAGAAATCCAGATGGAAGCAAACATAAAAGAGAAAAGAAGAGTAATCCGTGGGGGGAGAGGAAAAAGAAAAAAGAAAAAAAAATAAAAACCAAGCAAAGAGAAAGAGAAAAAGACGGAAAGGTCTTACCTTCCGAGCTATCACCGTCGTGAGCTTCACTGGACCAAACCCCTTTTGTTTCGAAGGTAAAGATTTAGTTGTTTTAGTTTGGTTGTGGGAAAAGGGGCTCTGTTTCTATGTTGGGTTTTTAGGAAAGTAGAGGAGAAAGAAAGAGAGGAGGGGCTTTTATGGCGTTTAACCCCGTGGCCACCGTTCGCGGTGGCCGGGGCTTTGGTTTGCCACATACGGCGGCGTGAGGGTTGTAGCAGAGAGAACTCTCTCTTTCTGTTTGTGATATTTTGCTGAAAGAAGAGCAAATGAAATGGTTAAAGGGAGAGATGAAACCCTATTTTGGGTTTTAATCAATACGACACCATTTAAGGGTTAAAGGGAGGTCTATGTGTTTCATATTTAGGGTTAATATCAGAATAGGTCACCGTAATTCTGTAATCTCACGCGTTTTTTTTTTCATTTTTGGGGTAAATTACATTTTAAATCCCTTTAGCTTTGTAATGTTTGTAATATGATCCTTAATGAAATTTCATCTTTCTATTTTGAGCTCTTTATTTATTTCTTGTTTCGTTTTAATCCTATATGATTAGTATTATATTTTCTAAGTGTTTAGATTTTTGGTTGCTTGTTTTGTATAGTGTTCGTTTTAGTCCTCATTTACATGTTTTGTGTAATTATTTGATTTTGAGCCTTAGAGTTTAGATTTGCTTCATTCCAGTCCTTATTTCATGTTGTTTCTTATTTTTTACGTCATTTAATTTCGTGCATATTATTTTGTAGATCTCCATTTTAATCTTATTGGTATTGGTTTTATTTGATTCTAGTGCATGTTTCTTTTCTGAAATTTATTATCAGGTCCTTGTTCTTTCTCATCATGGTTGTATAATCTTAAGGCTGATTATTTCTTTAGATCTGGTCAACATGATGTAATATTTATTTTATATTATATATATATATATATTCCCTTATATTTTCTACAACTCACGCATAGTACTTTGTGTAATAAATCATTATTTTATAGATAACGTATATATATATACTAAATATGTTTTATTTTGTGTTATATTATGCGCATATTTATTTATCTATTTCAATTTATATTCTTATTTTTATAATCTCTTTACATGTTTAAATATGTATTTAGCTATTAATTTTTACTCTTTTATGTGTTGTTATTCGAATGTATTTCAAGAACACGTATTTGTAGAATGGGCGTGGAGAGTATCACTTAATCGAAGTGGTACAATCTAATACGACGTTCAAACAAGAATGATAAAAAAAAATGCAAATTCTTCCTTTTACAAGCTTATAGAAATTATTTTTATTGTTATTCTATTTTTTATTTGATGTTCATATTGTTTAATATTTAAATTTTAATCTTTATTATTATTTCTTCATTGAATCTTAATATGAGTGATGTATGTTTTGGAAAAATAAAATGCATTTTATGTCAATTTTCGATATTATTTTTTTTAATTTAAAGAGAAAATATTCTTTACAAGTAAGAAATAGACGAGGTAGCTTTCCCGACGGAGGATTGCAAATCTCGGGATTTCTTGTCAAGAAAAGGGTTTTTTTCTTTTATTTTAACTAATATTCAATAAATAGATCATAATTTATTTATTATTCTATTTTTATAATTTTTATTGTATTAATGGTTTTTATGTTAATATTAACGATAAATGTTTTAGATAAATTAAGCATATTTTATTTTCTACTCATGTCGATATTATTTGGTGGTAATTCAAAGATAGAATATACTTTATAGATAAGAAATAGATGAGATAGCTTTCCCGTTGGAGGATTACAAATCTTGAGATTTCTTACCAAGTGAAGTATTTCTATTATTTTAACAAATATTCAATAAATAGATCATATTTTTACTTCTGATTCAAACTTTAAGTTCTACCATTTATGACGATATATAAGCGACTAAGTACCGATTGTGGGCGTTGTGGATGTTTATCTTTTCCACAGACGTAACCGACTTCCGAACCCCTAAATTTTCTTCTGATAACGCAGACTTGTATTTGTATAAAAAATGATTTTCCTTAAAATTGTTTTTTAAATTAAAAACGTTTTTTAGGTATTCGACCTACCTAACCCAAAGGTCGATGGCGACTCATTTTTAATTTAATTTTAATTAATCCATAATCTCTAATTTTTTAAATTAAAGTCATAATCGTTTTTTAAAAATAATATTTAATTGTTTTACAAAAAAAATAGTTATGACATAAATATTAATTCATATTAACTTCATAATTATAAAAAAAATTTATTCGACATAAGCCCAGTTTAGAAAGGTTTGCCGTCTGTGTCATTCTTGCGTAGCCGAAACCGAAAGAAAGTGCGAATCTAGACTCTCTCTCTCTGTCTCTCTTTGCGCGTTATGGCATTGTTTGTGACGGTGGTGGACTGGAAGTGGAAAAAAAAAGAATCTCTTTGAAAAAGGTAAAAGAAAAAAATGTGGATTTTCTCTCTCCAATGATAAATCCATTTCGATTCGCAAAACCAAATCCCAAGAAAATATTCCCTACGTTTCCCCACCATCACAATCTTCCCACCCGAAATTTCTTCAAATCAACCAAATTCACTCGTTCCATATCTCTGTAATCTCTCCGCCTTTTCTTCTTTTGTTTTCTTTACTTTTGCGCGCACACACACAAAAACCTCTTCCGGTTCTCTGACATAACCGAATCCTTGCCGGGAAAATGATGTCCCGGCGGCAACAGCCTGCGGAGGATCTGGTTTCCCTTGAAAATTCCAACGAATGGGTTTTTGATGAATATGGTTTATTAGAAAACATTCCTGTCCCTGGTGGCGATCTTCACTCACTTGACCCTTCAGCCCCAATCTGGTCCTCTAATCCTCTCAGGTTCCTCTTTTCTTCATTGCTTATGAATTTTAAGTTGACATGGAATTCAATGGTAGGTGTAAATCTCATGTTTGATAAGCTGAACTTCCAAGTCGGCAGCAGTTCCAAGTTGGGATTTTTCCAAAATTGTGCTGCTCAAAGCTATTGCTTTTCACTTTCATAGTTATATTTAAGTTGGCCGTTTTTTTAGCCTTTCTAGACTGTTATGTTTAGCAATGGATTTGGGTACAAAACTAAGTGGGTGGCAGCAAGCTATAATGGTCCCAGCTGCTCCTTTAAGCTAGGCCATGTTAATTGCTCATTAACCTTTCTTAAAACCTCTGCAGTGTTGAATTTACTGATTTGTTTGGGAATTCCGACAATCTTAATGAGACAGGCTCCCGAAAACGGTAAGCAGCTACTCAAGCATTACTTTTTTTTATTGTATTCGACTTCTCTATTTCTATAATGCAGTTTCTGGTCTGCTTCTGCACCATTTAATACTGAATTGTGCTTGGTTTTCATACCTGGTTTGCTTTAGTAATCTCTTCACTATTCTATCTCAGGATGAGGTCTGGATATTGCAGTGCATCTGGGTCAAAAGCTTGCAGAGAAAAGATGCGAAGGGATAAGCTAAATGACAGGCATTTTTGTTGTCCCTTGTTTCTCTCCCTTAGCCCACTTTGCCTCCTCTGATGTTTGTATTTCACTTTCTCAAGGTTCCTAGAATTGGGTTCTATCCTAGATCCTGGAAGGTCTTCCAAAATGGACAAGGCTGTAATATTGGTTGACGCATTACGGATGGTTACTCAGTTACGGGATGAAGCCCAGAAACTGAGGGAATCGAATGAGAGTCTGCAGGAGAAGATTAATGAGCTTAAGGTGAGAGCTTGGGACAAGTGTTGCATGTTAAAAGTTTTACTTTATGCATCAGTTCGCATGTTTGTTTGTTGGTTATGCTGAGTGGAGTTCTATTTTGAAGGCCGAAAAGAATGAACTTCGCAATGAGAAGCAGAGGCTAAAGACCGAGAAAGATGCCCTTGAGCGGCAAGTAAAGGCATTAGGTTCTCGGCCAGGATTTGCACCTCAAGCTCCTGCTATTCCTACTCCATTTTCTACCCCAAGCCAAGTTGTTGGTGGCAAGCTGGTGCCCTTCGTTGGGTATCCTGGAGTTTCCATGTGGCAATTCTTGCCTCCTTCTGCTGTTGATACATCACAGGATCATATTCTCCGCCCTCCTGTCGCATAAGCTGGCAGCTTGTTATTTTGAGGTTGCCTTCCTTTGAACAAAGAACCATTGTTCATCATTATATTTGCCATCGATGCTTTGCGTTTTAGTCTCTACTTTTTACTTTTTACTTTTACTCACCTTCTTTGAAAGAATATGAGAAGTGAGAACTGAAAGCAATGTTTGAAGCTACATTGATTTGCTCGGATAACTTCTGACTTTTGTACGACTAAATTTTGGTCAATTATTGTTGTCAAATCTTTGACGCTAGGTATCCTAAAAGTTGGAAAGCATTTATTACAATGGAGTTAAGCAGCTTGTGTTTCCTGAAATCAAGTAAAATCAGCTTATTTGCTGCAATCTTTGATAGCATCAGCCATTTGACGATATTCTACTATTAAACCGAGTTCACAAAATTTGATTTTAACAAGGTAGTTTGAATCCCATATAATTTCCTGATGAGTAGTCGTCCCAAACATCAAGGGCTCCATAGCTAGTCATCAAAATGGCACTCAGAGCCATCACTATACCAACAGAGAACACGATAAGGGATGCCCTTCCAAACCGTTTTATGGCCTTCTGCACCACCACCAATCCAAGAAGCGACGCGACGAAACAAATGACGGAGAACACAAGGGCAGTGCTAATGTGGTCCATGCCCAACAGTAAGTACTGGAATGCAGACATTGTGGATGAGAAGAAAACCATGAAAGAACAAGTAGCTGCAGTTACCTGGAGCAAATGGTTAAAATCATTGGTTTTTGGCTTTTGTCACAGATAAAACTATGTAACTCGAGAATGGTCAAAACAGGGACATGTGACAGGCATACTTACCTCAGGAGCTACTCCAACTTGAAGTAGAAGTGGGCTTATAAGCATTCCCCCTCCAATTCCAAAAAGACCGCCCAACCCTCCAGCCATTAGAGCCATTAAGGGGAAAATTAGCTTCTTAACACCCTTCAAATAAAGGAAAAAAAGGTTAATTTTTAATTAGGTCTCAAACAGGCTGCTAATTTTGGAAATAGATTTTGTTAAGCACCTGTTTATTTGGATCTTGGCATGCAATGAGCTCTTGTTTGCGAAGGATCCATGCAGTAAAAGCTATGGCGAGAGGGATTTGAAACAGTGAGAGAGCCCAATATTCTATTCCACAAGGCTTCAGTGATATGACACCCTGCATATTTCTTGAATAGTTATAAACATTGAAGATCATCCCCATCGTTCCATGCTATTCAAATTATTACATAATACTGAAAATCCTCGTATTCTAATTTTATAAAATTAATGCAGGGAACTTTTCCAAGAATATTCATTGTATTAAAAATATAAGATTAATACAAAAAGGGGGCAGATAATCTCAAAGCTCATTTTATCATTTTGATACGTCCAAAATAAGGTAGCTTTCGCTTTGCTTCTTTAAATGAAAAAGAAAAGAAAAAAGGACTTTGTCTTATACTCGATCCTGGACCATCTTCGGTTCTACCTAATTAAATTAATTTTAGATTAACAATAAGATAATCATTTAAAACCGGGTATTACATGAGAAAGACATACTGAAATTGAAACAGTCCAAAAGGCATGCAAAAATGTATTCCAAAGAAAGATCGGGCAACCAGACAAGAAAACATTACCTGTCCATAGCGATTCCCACGAAGGAGATAGATGATAAAGAAGGAAAACCAGAACATAATCAAGACCACCAATTTCTTCCATGGAAACCTGGGACTTTCTTTCCCTTCCATGGAAACCAAAGGTTCTTCCAGACTCTTAGCTTCCCCACTTTCACCATTTTCCAAGTTTCCATATCCGTTTCTAGTTCCTAGATGTCGATCCGATTCCAGTTTCCAAAACTCGATCCCGTTACTACAAGTCTTACTCGTAGACCAAACAAGAAAAATGGCAAACATGATGGTGATCAGCCACTCTGGTAACACAAGGTTGCAAACTACTCCCACACTTACGCCTAATAACATGCAAGGCTCCGACAAAAGTGCTATATCATAGTCAATCAGCGTCTTACCCCCGAACTTGGCACTTTTGGCTATCAAGTTATACATAACATTTGCAATCGACCCTCCCGTGACCATGAAAGCCGAGAAACTCGTGGCGGTTTTGAGGTCTAAACATCCCACAATCGTGAGAATGGGAATGAACAAACCTCCACCACCGACACCTCCCGCACTGGATATGGAAGAAGCCATGAAGCTCAACACTCCTGCTACCACTGAAGAGGTTGATAACTTCATGTTTCCATGTGATTTCAACATATGTCGGGTACTTCTTCTCAATTGGAGAGTTCTGTTGATGAAGTTCTCGAGTGTGGGATTGTCTAAAATGGGTTGCGTTTGTGTTGTTGCATGGGATTGACTTTGGATGGTGAGGAGGATGAAAATTGGAAGGGTGCGAGAAATCCAACTTAGCAAACTCTGGTTCTTCATTTTTGTTAATGGGTGATGTTTGGTGTCGAAAGAAGAGTTCTATTAAACGTTCTTATATCAGGATGAGAACCTGGAATTGCATGACAGTAAGTGGGGGAGGGGAAAAGAACGAGGTAAAAAGCACAGGAAGTTTCCCTTCCAATAAAAAGTGGGACACAGTTTAATGGCAGAAACCTCTGATGTATACTTTAACTGAAATTAAAACAAGACAAAAGAAGAAAAAGAAAAAACATTTATGACACTGGCAGGTAATATCCGTTTGTGGTTTAATAACAAAATATGTATTAAACATGCCTCATTTTGTTAATCGAATTTAAACGTGTCGTGACTGTGGATTAGAAATTCAGGTACAAAGAGACCTTGCAATTGCTTCTCAACAAGTGGATGGGGATATGGAGATATTATTTATTTTAGAAACAACTAGTAAGACTTGATGGATAGTATTTTTGGGTTATATCTATCTAAATTGCATCTAGATAATGTATTAAATATCTCTTTTTATTTTTATATAATTAGGTTCTTGTTTGTTTTTTGTTGTACATGAGGTATTGTTGTCAAGTTGAAGGTACCATACAAATGAAACTAAAAGACAATATTTGATTTGGACATGGATGACAAGGAAGAAAATTGTCACTTTCATTTTAGGCTAATCAGGCTCGAGATTTTTGATGTTAAAAAATCCATTTGCTTTTCCCAAGTTGATTTCATTGCTGGCGTCCATAAATTAAAAAAAATCATAGTTTTCATCATGGAAAACACAGATTGATGTTAAACGCCTCCAAGTAAGTAGCTGACATGTTCCTGGGTTTCCGATTGATTATTGGTTTACATTTCCACACCAAATTAATTTAACCAGTGGATTCTCTAAATTCAAAGCAAAGCTGATTCTGAATAAAACAATTATAGATTCATAAGCTAGAAAGATTCAGTGGTTGAAGATTGGTCATATGTAACAGTATTGCTGCAGAATATGGAGATGTTGAAGGCTGTTGGGAGATTAACTGATTTGCTCTAAAGCATGAGAATAACAGATGACATTGCTGGCCTATGTGCAGGGTCACCCTGAACACACAACAATGCAATGTGCATGTATCCATCTCACAACCTCATCCGGTGATGTTTGGATTTATCAACTCCAGTGCTCTGCCTTCATTCCATAGCAGCCATGCCTGCTGAGGACCATATGTTTACGTACAAGAAGCCTTAAGTTTAGGTACGAGAAAGAGATAAAGAAGAGAGGATGCCTATAGCACTAGAACTCCGAAACTGTAAACATCGGACTTGTTTGAAAACAACCCTTCTAGTGCGTATTCCGGTGCGATGTAGCCACTGCACATTAAACTAAAACACCGAGAATAGGACCATATAAAGAGGAGTCCATAAGCAAAATAAATGTTGGCACCATACGTTCTCACAGTGTTGGCTTCGATTTGATTGCCTCCAAATATTATCTTAGCTAGGGTTCACATCATCATCTAACAAGAAGCATTTATGGTGTTTCAAGTCTAGCTGGACTTTGGTATCGATTTTAAAATTAAAATTCATTATGTACGAAGTTGTTGCTAAATAAGGTTTGAACAAATTCATTAAGATTGATCATTCACTTTAGCTTCTATATCTTCGTTTTCCACATACAATATCATATTTTTTGACAAATACAATGACGGTCGAGCCCTTGTCCACCAGTTTCAATTTTTTAATTCTATTTTTCATACGAGTGAACTTAAATTATGCAAAAAATGATATCTATTTAAAATAAATTATATTTATTCATTCTCTTTGTTCAATTAGATAAGATTAGTAAGCAAAATTAATTTATTATTAATCTATGTATTAAAATAGAAGAATAATCAATAGGGGTTGATTCAAGTGGTAAGTTGCTTGATATCGCTTAAGTAAGGTCTTAGGTTTAAGTCATTGTGTATGTAGAAAATTCATACCTACCAAAGTCAAGTGTGCGACATGAGTTGGTCTGAATATAGAAAATTTGTTCCGGGAGGCTCACCCACCAAAGTCAAGTGTACAACGTGAGTCAGTCTGAATTAGTTAAGGCAAAGCCTTGAAATCGAAAAGACAACAAAAAAATTGTATATATATATGAGAATAAAATATTTTTACCCGAAAATGAGAAAAGTATTTTTAATGCATTTGCAAAAATTATTATTAAATAATTTCTTAAATAATAGTTTTGGAATAGAAATGTAAAAATAGTATCAAACCCAAAACTCTCAGTTATTGAATGTCATCTTCTAAACGTAGTTGTATAAATTAATTAAATAAAATCTTTTTATTACAATGGGCTTGTACTTTTCAGGTTTGGGGGAATATTGATGTCATTTGCATAGTGTCACGGGGCTAGACTGCTGCTAGAAAGCTCGTGCGACCTTAGACGTTTTCTAAGTCAAAAATCGCTAAGTAACCCGAACCTTCACTAAGCAAGAAAGCTTAGAACGTTGGAAAACCCAAAGGAAATGGGGAAACAAAGAGATGGGCGAGCTAAAGGAAAAAGAGAGATTTGAGAGTGAATACTAGTTTGTATTTCTCAACTTGAGGTGTGTAAATGAAGGGGGTTGAGCCTCCTTTTATAGTTGGAGTCCCCTAGAATCAATGGTTAGGATTAAAATACATCAATGGCTAGGATGAGAGCTCTACACTATTTACAACAAGTGGGCAATGAGTTGGCATCATTATCTTCTAAGATAATGCTAAATAATTATCATGTCTCCAAGGTGGATTGAGTCAGCTCACTTGGGTCTTCTAGAAGGCCCAAAATGTGGAAAAGATAGTCCCTGGCAGCCTTGAATGAATTTAGCTCGGTCATGGGCTGGCGGTCCGTGACATTCTCCCCCACTAGTTCTAGCGACGCCCTCGTCACGCGGCTATAGTGAAACTGATCTATCTTATCTCGGAATTGCCATAAGTCTTCGGAAGGCTCCCAACTTCCTTCACTCTCTGAAAATCCCTTACACTGAACAAGGTATTCATGCCTTAGTCGATGTCCCACTCGATGAACGACTCTCTCCGCATGGATGGCTTCTACTTCCTTCTCGTAAGAGACTTTTACACCGACTGGTGCTCGGTGCGATTTGCCTCGATCTAGCTCCTCCTCATCTTGATGATATGGCTTCAGCAAACTCACATGGAACACAGGATGAGCTTTGATGGTCAGAGGCAACTCCAATCTGTAGGCCATGTTGCCTACTCGCTTTAGAACTTTGAACGGCCCCTCGTATCTTCGCACAAGCCCTTTGTGATATGGGTTGCGCAAGATGCCACTTAATTTGGCAAGGACTAAGTCACCAACCTCAAAATTGATATCCCGACGCTTTCGATCCGCCCACTTCTTGGTTCGCTTACCTGCCTTGTGCAAACAAGCTCGGGCTAGTTCATGTTGTTCTTGCCACTCCTTGGAAAATTGGTATGCTGTTGGATTAGGCCCCTTGTACCCGGTCGCAATTGCATTCGGTGTGAGCGGTTGTTGCCCGGTATCGATCTCAAATGGACTTTGATTGGTCGCTTCACTCATCTGCAAATTGTAGGAAAATTACGCTATATCCAATAACTTTGGCCAGTCACGTTGTGTGGCACCCACATAGTGCCTCAAGTATGTCTCTACGAGTGCATTCACTCTCTCGGTCTGCCCATCCGTCTGTGGATGAACACTTGTTGAGAAGTTCAAGCTTGATCCCATCAACTTGAACAACTCCTTCTAAAACCTCCCAGTGAACCTTGTGTCCTGATTACTGATGATCATTTTTTGAACTCCCCAGTACTTCACCACGTGCTTAAGAAAAAGACGAGCGGCTTCCTCGGCTGGGCATACTTTGGATGCTGGGATAAAGGTACCATACTTGGAAAATCTATCGATCACTACCATGATGCTAGAAAATCCATCGGTAACCGGCAGACCGACAATAAAATCCATGGAAAGACTCTCCCATTGTCTTTCAGGGATTGGCAAAGGTTGCAACAATCCAGCTGGTTTCTTTTGCTCTATCTTTTCTTGTTGGCACACAAGACATGTCTTCACATAGGCCTCAACATCATTGCTCATGTGCGACCAGTAATAGTGTTCGGCTATTAAGGCCAAAGTCTGGTGGATCCCCGGATGTCCCGCCCACTTGGAATCATGACATTCCTTCATGAGCTCCTTTCGCAATCTTTCAAATTGCGGCACATAGAGGTGGTGTCCTCGAGCATACAATAAGCCTCTCTCGAGCCAAAACTTTCGAGTTTTACCCTCAGTGGCAAGCTCAATCAACGAAGTGGCCATTGGATCATGTGACAACCCCTCCTTGATGCGTTCTCGTATCTATCCCATCGACATACTGACAAACTCTATGTCGTACCTTCGGCTTAAGGCATCGACTACGAAATTTACCTTCCCTGATTTGTGCTCGAAGGACAAATCAAACTCGGCAAGAAACTCTTGCCATCGAGCCTGCTTCGATGACAACTTCTTCTGAGTTAAGAAGTAGCTATTAGCAACATTGTCGGTAAACACTATGAACTTGGACCCAAGTAAATAATGTCGTCATGTGCGTAAACAGTGCACCACCGCAGTCATCTCCTTTTCATGGACCGTGTATCGCCTTTCGATCTCATTGAGTTTTCGGCTTTCATAAGCAACCGGATATCATTCTTGCATCAGGACCCCACCAATAGCAACATCGGATGCATCAGTGAACACTTCAAAGGGATTGGTGTGATCTGGCAACACCAAGACTGACTCGCTTATCATAGCAAGCTTGAGTTCTTCAAAGGCACTTTGACACTTCGGGCTCCAATCCCATCATTTTTCTTTCTTCAATAACTCGGTCAAGGGGGCATCGATTTTATAGTAACCTTTGACAAATCGTCGGTAATAGTTGGCCAAGCCCAAGAATGACCTTAGCTCTGTCACCTTGGTTGGTACTTTCCATTCTTCAATGACTCGAATCTTGTCCTGATCCATCCAGATCTTGCCATCTCCAACAATGTGACCAAGGAAAAGGACCTCCGTCTGGGCAAATGAGCATTTCTCTTCTTTAACAT